GAGTTCATGATTTATTTTGGCCAGGATGATGGTTTTAAAAGATGATTTGATATGATTGATTTGAGGTTTGTTTTTCTAGTGATATTATAGTAGCTTCCACTGAAGATGTGGAGCTTGAAGTGGATATAGCTATTGGGCATCCGCTTCCAGTCCAGTCCATGCCAAGTATTTGAGTGCTATAGCTGCTAAGGTAATAAATTTGATATTTGATGATTCAATGTGATTAGGTGGTTTTCGGAGTTTAAAATTATGTTTCTGTGTTTGGTATGCTGTTTCCAAACATCTATTTACTTTTTTCAAACTTTAGGCATTTAAGTTGTTCCAACATTAAGTTGGACCTGTGCAGAAGAAGTAGCAACATCTTGTTAAGTGGCTGTTGTTTGTAAGCATGCTGTTAAAAAGAGAGTTAATAATGTTGTTGTGCCTTGATTCTTGTTGTGTAACAGATTATATTGATTTGTAGAAAAGAAGACCGGCTAAAATGTATATGCGTTGGGTACCCCACTTTAATAAAAAAAGTTTTTTCTGATAAAAAATAATAATAATAAGTTGAACTTGGGGGCCAGAAATGCAAAGGCCACTGACCACTGTCTTTTCCCTCCCTTACTAAAAAAAAAAAATTCCAGTTCCAAAGGCAAAAAGTGGATAAAAACAGTCCACAGTCCACAGTCAAAGGTGGACTAATTGTTCAAATCAGTAATCATGACTTACTGAAATTGCTTACATGTGAATGTTAATAGAAAGATTCAAATCTACATTTTTAGGCATGATTCACTTGAGCCAACTCCAATAAGTCGCTCAAACTCCTAAATTTCCTAGTCAAGTTCATTGAACTTTGAAGATTAAATTAATGCCATTGAAACAGCATTTAAACGCAATTCAAATGTGAAATCAAATAAGTGAATTCACATTGGATTACAGAAAAACAGAAACCAGATTAGTGAGATTACCATCAATGTTTAATTCATATTAGAAATCAAAAGAAAGAAAATGTTACAAATTGATATACTACTTCTAGCAGATCATTTACTGCAAACAGAAGTAATACACGACATAATTGTAAAATGATTCAGAAGTGTTTTGCTTCCTCAAGAATGTTGTGTATCTTAGGACCAAGTATCAAACTTTAAGCAGTCAATTTAGTCTTACAAAATGCTGGGATAACTTTTCAAAGTCTCAACAAACCAACTTCTTCTATCAATTCACAGGAGCCTTTTGCTTCTAATTACAAAGCATCTGTGTCTTTGTATGGTCTTGTTTATGGGATTCTGCAGAAAAAGAAATGCATGTCTTAGAAAATTAGTAATGTGTATGGGCTATGTTTTGTCTTGATAATACTTAGCACCTCAACTATCATATACAATCTCCCACGCAAGATTTATACACAATATAACATTTTTTAGACACCATAAGAAAGAGGAGGAAATGCTTCAGAAACAACATATATAAAACAGATTCCAGTGTGGCAGTATCTCCATGAATCATCACCTTTTGTCCTTCCAGTTTGAATGAAAATCCCATTTGACCATGCTTCTTGGTCCCCCTATCTCAAAAACTTCTTCAAATTCTTCAAATTGGAAATTGGAAAAATAAAATAAAATAAAATAAGAGTCAGGACCTTTCCAATCTCCAGGGGTTTGATTTTCATCCGAAAGAGACTTAAGCTTCCTCATGTCATTGCAATTCAACAGTATTTTTTGGTTGCCAAAGTAGTAAACTTTGGATTTAAGT